GGGTGGGAGGGTCGGTGTTTGGGTGTGAATTGCAAGCTTCAGAGAAGCAAGCGTGAGATCACTATTCGTGTCAACGCTTTACTCCGTGCGCTGATTGGTTGAATGGCGATCAGCCCGTCGCAATGCGATAAGTGGCGAGTGAGAGTGCAAGATTAACCAGAGCGATTGGGCCGTGGCAAGTCACGAGCGTACGTGCCATGGACCATCTGGGAGACGACCAGTGGCGATGTTGATGTTTGGGCGATTTGAAAGGACAAGCCCTCGAAAGAGACCGGGCGTCAGAGCGAGAAGGGTGAAATGACGATGCCTTGATGAGCGAGCGGGTCCTGACTTGTGAGACTCGTAAAGTCGTCACAACCACGAGTGACACATCCTAGTCACGAGTCAGAGTGGTAGTGAGCGCTTTGACTGTGACTAGCATCACACATGGAGCACCTTGATTGTGACTGTCGCGTCATGCACGGCAACTCACACTCGCCGCTTACGATTGCGCTCGCCTGTACGCAACCCTTATTGCGGTATAAGCATGCGCAATCACAGACACTTGGGCCTGTGTGACTAGGCACGACGGCGGTGATGAGCCTTGGCGCACAGCACGGCGCCTCACTCGGACCGATGCCCATACGCGCAGTACACATGCCGCGTGTACCTATCGCGGCGCGATGAGGCGCCCCAATGCGGCTCGCTCGCTCTGCTGAACATGCGCGCGAGTCAAAAGTGCAGCCTACGCGGCGCGCAGGGGAGCGTCCGATCATATATGTGTAGGTACAGTACTATGCTGCTGCTGCACTCTGACTGTAGATGCAGGATGCGCACGCAGCGAAGGGTCTTCGCTCAACAAACGAGCGCGCCCGCTCAACGACTGATGACACGTGAGCTTGCCGCCCATTCAAATTCAAGACTTGACTCAACTCACACTCACACTCGACTCTGACTCGTGACTCAAAAGCCTCTCGAGGTTCAATCGTGAACGAGTCCAAGTCTGAGTCGAGAGTCTCGGATGCTGGATGGTCAGTTTCTTCTGCTATCGATCAATGCCTCGTGCTGCTGGCTCACTAGGCACAATCGCTCCTTCAATAGCTGGGATCATTCCGTTTGGCAGCATGAGAAGGCTTGCATTAGACAGGTTGTCCTTTGTGGATGCGACGCGCGCAGACACCTCATTCACAATTGAATTGAATCGATTCAGCCGCACACGCACACACCGCTGTCAGGTCGAATAGACCGCTTGCTAGCGCTCACAAAGCTCAGGTCTTGAGCTCTTGGGGTGAAGGTGAAGCTAAGGAACTGATGAGATTGTGAGTCGTGAGTCAAAAGTGGAGTGCCTATCATTCGCTTGGTCACAGTCACGCGAGTGTGCTCTCGCACTGCGCAAAGCGCCGGTCCACAACTTCTCGTACGAGCTAGGGTATGCGGCGTTAAACATGCGGCGCGTCGCGCGAGCCGCGCCTGGTGATGGATTATTGCCTTGGGGGTGACTCACGCACTCCACCATCATCACACCTAGCGCCAATGTCCGACGCTGCAAATCCGAGATCTACAAACATCGCTACTCACCACTACTGCTACCTTCGGCAAAGCTCGGTAGCGAGGCGTGTGCATTCGGACGAGGGTATGCACCGCTCATCTCCGTGTCCCCAAAGCAGCATGGCTCTGCTCCATCCCACTCAATAATGGACTGCCTCCTGCCTCCTCAATCTCCCACCTCGCGGATCAAACGAAATCACGCGCTGAGCACCGTCGCCGAACTGTCCGGCAAGTTCGAATAGACAGCCTATCAGCCTTTTGGTAAGATGCCGCTGAGATCGAGTGCAAACTCGGCTCGGCGGTCCGCCACGCATGCTGACGCAAGCGAAGCAGGTCCATCGAGACCATCGCGCGCTTCTTCGTTCAGGGCCAACGCATCGCAGCCCGAGGTATCGTCTCCGCGTTCTTTTGCGATACTCAAGTCCAGCATCAAGCCACCATCATGGCAGCCTGCTCACTCTCCAAGGATTTTGAGACCAGCGCGCCCAGATACGCGTACTTCTGCTCAATCCTCCCTTTCCCAGTCGCAATCACCAGCCCGACCCTCGCCGAGCGCCACCACACGCTATAGGATGGGACCGGCGAGCGTGAAGGCATCTCGAAGGGCAAGAGAGAGATCGGTGCGACCCAAGCTGCCACCTCAGCACATCGTCATCAGCGATTCGTCTGACGTGGAAGAGGCCGTAGCGCTGGAGGGAAGAGGTTCAAGCAGCGCAAGCGAGAGCGAAGATGGGTTCGAAGTGATAGTACGATCCAGAAGCACAGCTTCGCTGCTTAGCAATAATTCTCTTCGGAGGGGCAAGGCTCGGGCACTCGAGCTTCCGCTCGAGGTGTCGGATAGTGGAGAGGAGACCGATCACACTGTCGACGCTCAGGACGAGGATCGGGCAAAAGGAGGCGTTTCTGCGGACGATGCGGATAGTTGGGAGCCAGAGACGCCCACTCCGCCTCCTTCGATAACCTCGCGTACGGACAGGGGATTGGGATCTCCATCACGTGGCGAGTCTGTGGATCACGTCGACGAACGAGCTCCGAGCCACGCCTCTGGTAGCCAAAGACGCTTGTCGCCTATGAGCTCTCATCCCTTTTTGAACGGCGGGGGTGGATCTCGTAGCTCTGCAGGCTCGGGACACTCCGAATCCGATGCCAGCATGAATACACCGGAAAGGTTGTCTCAAGCAGGCGGTCTGCCTAGCGCTCATCACGAGTCTCTAGCAATGTCGCTCGAGCCTCAAGAGGAGAAAAGGCGCCATGCGAAGGATCAAGAAGCTACGATCCTTGAAGCAAATGCAGAAACATCTCGGAGAGCCGCTGAGCGAGAAGCGGAAGATCTAGCTGCGGCGGCAAGAGCGGAGGAAGAGCGACTCGCAGCAGAGGCCGAAGCAGCGCGAAGAGGCGCAGAAGCGGAAGCGGGCAGACGCGCTGCGGAAGAAGAGGCTCAGCGCAAGGCGGAGGAGGAAGAGCGACTCGCAGCAGAGGCCGAAGCAGCGCGAAGAGGCGCAGAAGCGGAAGCAGCCAGACGCGCTGCGGAAGAAGAGGCTCAGCGCAAGGCGGAGGAGGAAGAGCGAGCGATGCTTGAAAACTTGCAGATGCTGTTACAATCCAACGAGAATGACGACGATTCTGCGGCTGGCACAGACGACGAATCCTACGAAGCACGGCGCCTGCGCAAGCTGAAAGCTAATGAGGAAATCTTGGCCCAACTAGGCCTCGGTGGTGGTGGCTCCAAAGGTCTCATAGAAGGTCAAGAGAGATCCTTTCTGGCCGAATCTGAATCTGCGGCGCCTGAGGGAGAGGATTTTGACGAAGCTGCTGGTGATATGTCAACGTCAGAAGCGATAGAAAGGCGAGGTAGAGGCCGGCCAGCCAAAGCATCACGAGCGCCTCGACATGGCTCGACATGGGCCAATCACGCCGGGAAACGGACACTGAAGCTTGCAGAGGATGGTACGACGACGTCTTTGCCCCTCAAAGGAACATCGCACGAAGTCGCTTACGTCGATCTTCCGGCTTTGCGCAGCAGGCAAAGGCTGGGCTTTTTGTTCTGCATCGACGATGTGCGAGTGCGCGCCCCTACGCCAGAGCTCGTCAGCGAAAGCGAGTCCAGCCAAGAGTCCGAAGCGGAGGATTTCATTGAGGAAGCTTTACCAGAGGCTAGCGAGACTCCGGCGAAGAGAGGACGCGGTAGACCACCAAAGGATAAATCTGCGCAGCCTCAAAAGGCTGCGAAGCCAGAAAAGAATGTCAAGCCTAAGAGGGCAGTCAATGTCGGGGATACCTGGGACGGCTCGCTTGATATGGCGAGTGCCACTCGGCATGGTGGTGGAGACTTGAGAGCGTGTATAGCCTATCTGACTCTTATCTACGCCTTGTGTCTTTGTGACAGTCTGAATGGACCAGCTGTCACCAGTGCCGCCGCAAGGTCAGCCACACAAAGGCGAGAGAGTGCACGAATAAAGAGGAAGACCGTAGATGCCCCATGAAGTTTTGCTTTGCCTGTATGCAGATCCGATATGGCGTGGATCAGGTATCCTTAAAGGCGGCGGACGAGTTCATTTGTCCTCGATGCCAGGGTTTCTGCAACTGCAGGTGGGTACGATTTCGGTCAAAGCCTGTTGTTTCTCTGCTCCATGACTCACGTGCCGGGCGTCGTCCTGCGACCTTGCCGATAAAGCCTCTGCTTGCGAAAGCGCGGCCTGGAGGATCTGCTTGCTCAGCAGAGTGGCGGGCGTGCCACGTCTCTTTCAACTATGATAGGCCACCACGCCAGCGTGCATCACTTCCTAGTCGCCCTCATAGGCAGAGAATTGTTTGGATCTCCGGGACTCGCAAAAAATCAAGGCATGAAGGGACCAAAAGCTGCCATTGCCGCGAGAGTGGCACGTGCAGCTCGAGATGCAAAGGCTCTCTCTGCCAAAGCTATTGACCCCGCTGCACCTCCTGCCAAGCATTCTCCAGAGAGCCAAGGAGGCAGACAAGACCTCAAACGTGCGATGCTAACATATGGTAAGCGAGACGCGGTAACTACTCCTGATGCCAAGGGGGATCGCAGTATATCTGCAGGAGCTGTATCGCTCACGGGAAGGAAGCTAAGACGCGCTGAAGGGTCACCAAGCATAGCCGAACAAGCGGCTGACCTCTTTGCGGAAGTCGATCATGACGGCAAACGCGTTACCATACACCATTTCAAGTCGCCCGAGGGCAAATGGAGGCAATTGTACATTCGCCTGCTACCCTTGAAAGCGCATCTTCAAGCTCTACTTCGAGCGGAGGAAGAGATGGACAAGCAGGGAGAATTTGAGAGCTCAGATGAGGACGCTCCTGCAGAGGATGCGGCCGCTGAGCCACAGCGGCAAGGATCAGGCAAGTCGAGCAAGACGAAGCGCGGCGAAAGCTCAATCCACATATCTTCGGCTTTGATAACCTCGAAAGCAAAAGCCAAGGCCCAGCCTCGAGCGAGGCCTGTCGAGGAGCGCAACGTTTGGGTCAAAGGCGCTGCAGATGTGTCCGACGCAGACACCGACCTCTCGGACGTCATCTCAAAGAATGAGGCACCGGCACCTTCGACGAAAGCGACCTCTAGGAAACGCAAGCGGTCTGCAATTGAGGATGAAGATTCGGACCTATCCTCGGCTCCTTCCGAGCCCACTCAGACGCGGACGTCGCCTCAACAGTCGACGCTTCAATTCAAGGTGGCAACGGCGAAAGCGCCATCTCAACCTGTCCTCGCCGCGGATGTGCCCCGCTTCCTACCCTCACCAGAAAGCGTCTCATCACCCTCGTTATTCGATTCAGCGACGGGACACCACGAGCGCTTCATGCCGCATCCCCCTGCCATGCATTGCAGACCGCCAGCGCTCGATGGACTGTCGTTCCATGACCCGCTTCTGGGCAATGCAGTATCCACCTTCGGTAATGAGCTTCCACCCCCTCACGTGATGCAATCCGGTCACCAAATTGGTCAGATCGCGCCAAGCTACATGGAAGGGCCGCCCCCGTATCTGGGCTATGCAGAGCAACTGTCGTCTTTCTACCCGAGATCATTCAGTCGACCTCCGATGCCCCCCTCTAGGCGATCGAACGACTTGCCGCTACCACTTCCACCCTTGCCTCCAGTTCCGCCTGGTTCTTTACCGCATGAGCTTCATCCCACGACACATGCTTCGTCACCTGCCTTTTCATCATCTGTACTACCTGCCCTTTCAGCTCCGGCTCACTCGCATTCTGCGATGCAACAACCATCCCCCTTTCAACAGCACCGGCAAATGCGCAACGAAGAGACACTTAGCCCAGCCAGCTTCTTCCCACCGCCACCTCCACTTACGAATCCAGAGCCATCTCACCCGTCGAGCTCTAGCAGCAACGGTTGGTTTCCACGCACCACGCGCTCTCGAGGCTTGTAGAGCTGTACTGCTGCCTGCTCGGACGGGATACTGGATACGTGCTCTACGCAATGTCAACACCTACATTGACACTGACGATTGCGTCTCTCTCTCTCTCGGGAAGCACAGCACGGTGAAGCTGCTATTTACTCGGGAGTGAAGTCAATCAGAGAGTAGCTTCGACGAACCCATCATCGAGTGTGATCGCCTTGGAGCAATTCTGTCCCGGAGCCACATCAGAAGC